GGTCTGCAGGTGTCTGGTGAAGGTTCAAAACAAGTGTACAAGACTAAATGGGGGCAAAGACGAAAGATAATGAGAGGGGTGTATTTCGAAAAATAGAGCGTTGAAAGAAAAAAATGATTTAGGGGGGAAGAGGGAGAAGAAAAGAGAATCCAAAAATACAGGCTAAGGGGAAACAAAAAACATAATATAAAGAAAGACACAATACCAAGTGGAAGGAAAGCAAAGGAAATGAAGGAAACACTGAAGCAACTCAGGAAAAGACAGAGTTTGATTTGTAGAAAGGAAAGAGAGGAGGATGCCAAGAAGGAAAGAAAGATATAATAAAACTAAATCAAAATGTTAGCAGTTAAATTTTTAATAACTATTAAAATTATTAAATGGAGAACCCAGTGCAGAGTAAACAGCTGTTTTAAACTGCATGGAAAAAGAGTTTGGGAAGGTGACCAGGAGGCTTTTCTTGTGCAAAGGGCACAAAATACACTTTAAAGACTACTACTGTACCATCCTCTGTCAGGTAGAAGTTGGGTCCAAGTGAGGTGAGGTTAGAATAAACTGATATACTCCCTCCCTGTGATCTCCTCCAGCCTCCAAGTCTCCTGAGATGCTGAGAGGAGAGAGCCAAGGAAGCAACCCCACTATGGCACCAGCCTCCAATTTTGTACTCTCTTTTCAGTAAATAGCTCCCATGTGTGCCTCTGCCGCTGCCTAGCCAAACAAAGCAAGACTAAATCTGTCCTAATACCTATCAGTTTCACTGCTGTCCAAGGGGTCCTGAAGAACAGCAAAGAAAATGGACAAGACAAGCCTGTTTTTCCTCTCCTCTCGTTTGACAACACTAGGAGGAGCAGCTGCCACACTCACTAGGGCCCCAGGCTCAACACAATCTTGCGTGGGTGATTTGGTTCAAGTTTGGGAGGTCTTCTCCGCAGTCACAAGTTAGAAAACTGTCCGCTCCCCATCCCCCTCCCAATATTTACATTCTGTAGAAGTTAACGACACTTGCTGGAGGAAGTTTCCTCTTTGCACAGACAGATCGATTTTTCAAGCTCTACCTACCTGGCTTAAACAACCTCTTGAACTTTGCCATTTAGCCACGCTGTTCTTTTCTCTTGCCTTCCTGTTTCCTCTCCGGTAGAGGCGAGATCGTCTCAGACATGTGACGTGCAATTGCATAAAGGTTGTAATCCACCGTTCACATTACAGGAGTATTTGGGGCTCCGCTGTCCCAGGCGCTGGACAAACGCAACGTAAATGTGGTCCTTTTTCACAGGCGGATGCAAAGACAGGAAATCACCAAGACGCAGGGAGTATATAAGTCAGCAGTCACAGTTCACCAGCTGCATAGCCACCATGCTCAGTCTACATATTTTAACTTCCTCACATTTGCCATTAAGTTCTTTCATACCAGCTTCTTCATTTTACTGAACCCCGCTTCACTAAGGCTTAGTACACAGGACCTAGTTTTTCCTATCAATCTTCCCATAATAAAACAAGGGCCTCAGCTGCATTCTGGTCATAACTACCTAAAGGTTCATTAGAGCTACATAATGGCTGCACTATTTAGGAATAAAATGTGCTTTTCTTCTTCTCTGTAAAACTTACCACACAGAGGAGGAGTCGTTTACAGCAACTGTGTCACTCCCAGCCTGCAGGCAAGGTCTACTTATTTCATGCATGTATATCGTCTGCATGAGAAGTTCAGATGCTGCAAAACTTCTGCTTTCGTTTTAAAAAAACAAAAAAGATTCTGGCTGTGACAGGTACCCTGTAACCATGGAGTGAGTAAAACTGACACACGAGCGCCTGTTGGACTTTGCAAACAGACAGTGCTCAAAATAATAGGTCTGAACATTACCACCCCACTTTCCCATACATTTTAGAAGGGTGTTAAACTCTACAGATGATGACAGCATCAAACATTGATACTAACTATTTAATGGCTGAGTTAGCAGGTCAAACAAAAGAGAGAAGGAAAGGATAGAAAATGGGAAAGGAAATAGAAAGTATAGAAAGAGAAAGAGGAAAAGAGGGGCCTGGAAAAAGCGTGTTTAATAAAAGACAGTATATTTTCCCCACTTCATGCCACTCAATTTACCACAAAAGTAACTAAATTAATTACCAATGATGAGACATACTCCATCCTTAATCCATATACAGGCCTATTGACAGCAGTAGGAAACTCGCAATGAAAAATACTTCCGAGTCTAATCTAAAATTGATTCCCCAATTTATATACCATAATTCAAAACAGAATTCAAGCCTCTCCACAGTACAAGCAGGGCATGCAAGCCAAAGGTAAGAAACGGAGAAACAGCTTCTCCCGACTGCACCTCGAAATTCAACCAGCTTCACTCAACTAATCACAATCCATCATCAATATGACTTTATTAGCTGACATCTCCCTCAGCATTAGCCTTTCCTTTTCCTGACCCTGCCAGCTGAAAGTAAAACCCTGCCAGCAGGCCTGTATTGTAATGACACGGGGCTTGTATTCACAGAACTCCTCTTCACTCAGAAATTGTATCCGATAAGATCCCACAGGAGCTTTGATTACAGTTCTGCTCCGTACGTTGACCTCCCTGCACCCTTTGTGAGTAAGTGCTAAGCATGTCATTCCACTGGGTTTCATAAGACCCACAAGATCTTCTTCTATTTCTACACATTCCCGTCCACTTTTGTTCTTAAGCTCCTTACACTGACATGCTGCTGGCCCTTGCAGCTCCAAAATGTTGTCCTGGAGGCCAGCTGTGACGAGAATAAAATATATATTCAATTAGGAATTGCAATTTTTTACCCCAACCCATGTCCTGGAATTTTTAAACTTAAGGATTTTAATCAAGCCAGTCATCTTCCTCAGCAGCCAGGAAAGCTCTGAGCAGATGCTGCCCCTCGAGCCGCTCGGCAGATCGCCCACTAGCCACCTGCTGCATCACCGGGGAGGGAAGAGACTCGTACTGGATGTTATTCTGTTCCCTCCTTACCTGATGGGTTGCGGAAGCCCTGGGGAGAACAGGACAGAACTTGACTGAATATACCTGACCCCATATCAGCATACGGCAAAGACAGCTTCCTTCCCACGCGCGCAGAACCAAAACTAAATACTTCCCAGGTTCAAGTCTAGGCTCCAGCAGCTGATCCCAGCTTGGCAGCTAGAGTGCAGCTTAGTCCAGCCAGCTTCTCACTCAACACCTGCACAAGAAGGTGCAGGGAAAGGGGTGGAAGAGCCAAGTACTGATGACACCTTGACCCCCTCTGGGAATTCCTCAACACTGGGGACCTGCAGATGGTCTTTGTTCCTTCCACACAAGGAAGGGTTGACGCCCAGACTACACCCCTAAGCAAGAAATAAAGGCAGCCCCCTTAACGTGGGCTCCAGCCAAAAATATTGGGCTTTAATTCATACAAATTTGGTCTAAGCATGCACCTATTTTCAACTCTTTTCTGATGCTCTCACTTCTCTCAAGTATATATCTGTGAACTTCACCCATCCCTCTTGCAGCACACCTAACTTCTAGTCCTCACTGCAGGATGCAGAGTTACCTCAGATGATGAATTCCCTCAACCCAAAATGATTCAAAACCCTCTTCAACACCCATCCCCATTACACAGCTCCTAGTTTAAAACGAATCTCCCCAGAAGTTGGTGCAACTTTCCATTCTAGCAGTCCAATATTTCTTTGACTAAGGGGAATTCATCCTTTTTACTAGGCTCTCCCTTCCCCAGTAAGTTTCACCAGTACTTAATAAATTAGCCAGAGCTTCTGGCCAGGATTTTATCATGAGGCCCCCAAGGCAAAGACACACTTTATCTTTTCAACCTTCATCTGCATATTCTTTAATGAAGTATAAAGCAAGCAAAGAAGTCATCAGAAAAAATACCCAACATTGCACACGGTGAAAAGCGAAAACCAAGCTATCGATTTCAAAGAATCTTGCTCTGATCCAGTCTTCCCTCTTTCTTCTGCACCCTTGTTTATTATTAGTGCCGTTTAAATAAAGACATGATCTATACGGGCTCATGTTGACAATCCAAATATAAGCCAACATGCCATGGCATCAAAATCAGTGTCTTTGGGCATAATTACACTGCTGCTACTAGATTTTCACTACCACATTTTTTTTTAAATCAGAAGAACCACGAAAAGAAAAGGTTATTTTTATAATTTTTTCTGATACTGTAAAAAACAGCTCCATTAAGATCCCAAACCTGCAACAGCATGCACATTACAGGGCAGGGCCATGCAATCAGAATTTGCTCCCTTGCTCTCGAGAATGATTTCACAAAGAAATTAAGTTTCGGTTTCAACCTCCCATTTGGTTAATAAAATGTGCACAGCATTTAAAATCATGAAAAATACCTTAACGCCCTTTTAACTGGTCTCAATTTCTCTATTTCACTTCCTGCTTCTCTCTCTACTACAAAGCAAGGCTGTCAAATTGGGAAAGAAAAAAAACTTACATCAGATTTGTCAAGAAAGACAGTCTTCCTGTCAGCTCAAAAGCTGCGGCCACAAACTGCCTTGCTATAGATCCCACCATTTCTGTATCGTCACAGACGCGATACACGAATGTTATGTCATATGTACGATACCTGTCAAAGTCCTCGTTCAGATCTGAACTCTGTCAATTAGACTCTCTCGGGCATCCGAATCAGACCGTAGCACAGCGGTAGACTCAAAACCTAGCTTCCCCTCATTTCTACCAGGAAATAACAGAAGCATTTTTCTATTCCAAAAAAAAAAAACTCATCAAGAGCCCAACAGGTCAAAGTGCTTTTAACGCCATTTGAAATCTCTAGGTTGCAATTTACCGATTGTGTTTGCACCCGGGAAGGGGCAAGGCACCCCAGGGTGCTGCAGCACCCCGGTTGAGATCGCTGCCGGACCAGCTCCAGCAATTCACCGATCGGTATGAGTCAGAAAAGGCAGGGCCTCGCGGGCCGCAGCTCCTCTCTCGCCCTTCTAGAGGAGCCCTGAAAAAGCAAGCTTCAGTTTCACTTACTCCAGCACCAGGCGAAACGGCCTCAAACGAGCGACACCGCGACTTCGGACATGGAGGGATGCTGCAGCTCGGGGCAGACTAAAGACGTCAAAGAGTAAATAGCAATAATGGCATTTCCTCGTTCGAAAGGCCACGAATCTCGGCACCAACCAGCTACTGGAAACAAATAAAGCGCTACCAACAACGTGCTCTCATCACCTGCAAGTTCACTGTGGTTCTTGACAAGAGTCTGCCCATCTCCCAATGCCTTGAAAACACCCCCCCAAAACCCCGAATCCTCCTCGTGCTCTCCTTCTGCCAGGCAGCTAATGTGGAGTCAGCCCGAACGAAGGCCGTGTAGACGGGCACCTGCGCAGGATCACGGCGTGGAAAGCGGGGGGTTACGCGGCGAGCGGACAAGCTGTCGGGGGAGGGGAGGTCCCTCAGGAGACACGGCTGACACGCACCTGTGCACGCGGATGAAGGTGTGTATATGTGTGTGTGTGTGTGTGTGTGTGTGTGTGTACACGTATGCAGAGGGAGCGAGGTGAGCGCAGCAGCTGTCACCCCCGTGGTGGACTCATGCGGAGACGTGGGGGTGCAACGGGTCCGTGCGCGTGTGGGCCCACGGGCCGGACCCACTGACGGGAGGGCAGCGCTCGGGCCCACGGAGGGGACGGACAACCGCGCGCGGCCCAGCCGGGACGGACGGACGGACGGGACCGGGCCTGTGTGGGGAGGGAGGGGAGAGGGCCCGCGCTCAGCCCGGAGCCGGCCGGGGCCGGCCGGGGGCGGGGCCTGGGTAAGGGGCGGCGCTCCTGGCGCCAGGGGGTGGAGCCACGGACCCGTTTCCACGCCGTGGGGCAGAGCGGCCGTCGTTGCCCTCTGCGGTGGGGCTGCCTTGTCCCCGGCCCCGGTCCCGGCCCTCGTCTTCTGTGCGGCTGCCTGGGCCCTGCTTGTCTCGGATTTCCACTCAGCCCCACTTCGGGATGAAACAAAAGTAACCCAAATTCCACATTTTTCCGTGATCAAAATGAAACGCCGCTAATATCGATAGATCCCGAGATAGATATACTGACTGCCTGGTTTTTCACCGGTCACAGATGGTAGCAATTTTACCAAAAAATTACTTCTATTTTGTAGTTTTCTTGACAAAAATGTGATTTTTTTTAAATTGTTTTTTGACCGGTCAAAGGCGATTGCAATTTTACCACCCAAAATTACACTTTTTGCAGTTTTCTTGACAGATTTGATTTTTCTTTATTGTTTTATGACCCGTCAAAGATGATAGCAATTTTACCAAAAAAATTACTTCTATTTTGTAGTTTTCTTGACAAAAATGTGATGTAGTTTTTATTGTTTTTTGACCAGACAAACATGATAGCAATTTTACCCCCAAATTACACTTTTTGTAGTTTTCTTGACAGAAATTTGATTTTTCTTTATTGTTTTTTACCTGCTCAAAGATTATAGCAATTTTAGTGCAAAATTTACTTTTATTCTGTAGCTTTCTTGACAAAAATATATATATTTTTTTTTATTTTTTTTTTTTATTTTTTTTTTTTTAGGCAGACAAGGTTCCTTGGGTGAATTTGCTATCTTTTATTAGACCAACCCAAATAGTTGGAGAATAGTTATTAAGCAAGCTTTCGGGTTCAAAACCCCTTCGTCAGGCTAAGGAAGTGTCAGCAGTTGGTGTGTGCTCTATTGTTTTTGACCAAAGACAATAGCAATTTTACCCCCCAAAATTACATTTTTGGTAGTTTTCTTGACAGAAATTTGATTTTTTTAATTGGTTTTTGACCGTGCAAAGATGATAGCAATTTTACCCCAAAAATTACTTGTTTGTTTGGTTGGGGCGTTTTTTGTTTTTTGTAGTTTTCTTGACAAAAATGTGATTTATTTATTTATTTATTTATTTGACTGGTCAAAGATTATAGCAATTTTAACCCGCACTTTACATTTTTATTCATAGTTTCATAGTAGCTCGGGTCAGGAGGGACCTGAACAGACCATCTATAATGACTCCCTGCCACAGGCAGGAATGAATGCTGG